GTAATCTGTGTATCCTGGGCCATACCCGTAATTGGGGTAGTTGTACCCAGAGTAGTCATATCCTCCATAGCCACTGTAGCTTTGATCACTATAAGCGCTATTGTAGTTTCCATATCCTTGATCGTAATAGTTATTAAATCCTTGATTCCAGTTTTGTCCCTGACCTGAAACCAAGTACAGCATTTAATATATCTCATCCTCTAACTCAAATCCCGCTCTTCTAACAAGCCATTTAATCTAGCTGTCTTTCTGTGCTAAAATTACTGGCCAGAAAACCCTTCTACCTTTCCAAGAACCAGTATCAGAATTATTTCCCAAAAAAATGAGGCACCTCATTTGGAAATGAAATATGTTATTAAGAGCTGATCATCTATGGTATAGTTTAGTTAAAAAAAATTCTGCTCATTGAGAACAAAGACGACACACACACACTGTAAACAAGCACCGCGACAGCTCCTACTGTTTCCCTTCTTCACTTTCATCGTTGGATGATGAATTACATGAGCATTGACTTACAACACAGGATCAGCTTTACTGCAGTACGTAAGCTGTGACTGCTTGCCTTAAGGACTGACTGGCATTAACCTGTACTGGCAAGGTAAAGGTAGTAGTTTATCTTTCCTCCCTTTAGGTGAGGAATTGAGGCCTCTGCTATATCAACCAATGTCGTAGCTTTTCACATTCTATACTATCCATTTCACCACGCTGAGAATTATGAATTTAAAAGAACATCCTAAATCTGGCTCGCCATTTGACCACTTCAACGCACACAGAAGTGCTTAAGCTTGAATACACAGTTCTGCAGTCCTAACAGCCAAAAATGTAGCTTAAGGAGATGCACAAACAGACTTTCTGCGTTCTGTTGAAGCATTAAAAACCAACATACAACCCAAAACTTAGAATAGCTAGAGACACCCTGATCTTCAATACAGACATGTAACTATTTACATTACTTGCAACATCCATACAACTCACCCCGTCCACGCCCCCTTCCACCTCCTCGTCCTCCAGTTGCATTGCCTTTTCCTCCTTTCTGTTGCTGCTGCTGCTGCCTGTATACCTCTTTGGGCTGCGCTACTTTGATCTCACACTGTAAAAAACAAATTCTTAAGCTCATCGAGAAGCTCAACACCATTTTATCAGTCGCTTTCAGTGAAGCCCACAAACAGTTGTCTATTTCAAATGCTAAGATAGGTAGCTTCCTTACCTTGCCTGAACCAATTTGATGGTATCTGCTTTCTAACAATTTCTTTACTGGCTCTTCATCTGTGTATGTGATAAAACAGAAACCCCTCCTTTCATTCGTCTTTGTGTCCATGGGAAGCTCAATGTTTTCAATCTGAAAGCCAAGTTATTTATCAACAACGGGTGAAAAGCACAATCAACTTTTCGTGCTCCCAGTCATTCAGCAGTCAAACGTTTATGCTAACAACAAATTTAATCGGGTTGCTTTTTCAAGGGCCATTTCACCAGTTCCATTTATAAGCGTCCTACTGCTTCAACCTAGTTAGGGCAATTTGCTACAGACATCCAGCTGCAGACGTAGAAGCTCGCGCCACGTGAGCTAAACCACTGGGGGGGGGGGGGCTACAGTTAAAATAGCTTTTGACAGCTACAAATTAGCCTTATCACAGCAGTAGAAGGTCGTTAACAGGTATATCGGTGTTTCTGACCGAGGCGTGGTTTCACAGCAGCCACAGCTATGCTCTTCCCTCCCCACCTCTTCTGCCCGACAACAGAAGCAGCACTGCACTTGGCAAGCAAAGCTATTTCCGCCCGCTGCTAGGCCATACCTCGCCAAAAGCGCCAAAATATTCCTTAATCTGTTCTTCAGACGTGTCTGGACTCAGCCCACCAACAAACACTTTTTTGGGTGGTTCTTTGCCCTTTAGGGCTTTGGCCCTTTTAGGGTCTATCAACTTCCCATCCAGTTTGTGCTCCTTCAGCTCCAAAACCTGGAAAGCACACAGAGAAACAACGCTCAAACCGCCACCGGGGGACACCGAGGCCGCGCAGAGCCCCTCCGCCGCCACCACCCACCTTCTCCACGCTGGAGGCGTCTTTGAAGAGTGGGTGGTTCTTTGCCCTTTAGGGCTTTGGCCCTTTTAGGGTCTATCAACTTCCCATCCAGTTTGTGCTCCTTCAGCTCCAAAACCTGGAAAGCACACAGAGAAACAACGCTCAAACCGCCACCGGGGGACACCGAGGCCGCGCAGAGCCCCTCCGCCGCCACCACCCACCTTCTCCACGCTGGAGGCGTCTTTGAAGAGCACAAACCCGAAGCCCCTCGACCGCCCGGTCACCGGGTCCGTTTTAATCGTGCAGTCCACGACCTCGCCGAAGCGGGACAGGTACTCCGTCAAGTCCTCCTTGCTCGTGTCCCAGCTCAGCCCGCCGATAAC